CAGCGCCCTCCCTATTCCTTCTACTACATCTATGACGATTATAGGTTAGATGAGTTGATTTTCGCTCCTTTCACTAAAAAAGAACTGGTCCTATTCACAGAAGATGTTAAAATCCAAATGCAAAAGTAGAAAAATTTTAAGAAATAAGGTGTATTTAGGGGTCGATTTGAGTGGAGCCGAGCTGAATATCTTGTTATTCGAGTTTGGCTTATAGAAAAATATGAGGTTTAAGTTTGAGTTTGAGGCCAGTTCAAGTTAGATAACTGAATTCAAATTTGGCTCAACTCAAAAATTTATATATTTAATTTCACTCTGCTTGAATTTAATAGTGAGCCAAATTTCCTAAAAAAAATGAAAAATTATACATAAAAAAGTTAAAAATATCATGGTTTTTAAAACCGAACTGATCAGGGGTTCGATTACCGGTTCAAACGGTTTGATTATTCGACCCGAACAGCTGGCCTGTTCTGACAAAAAAATAAAAAAAATTGAAAAACGGTCAAAACCATTTGAATGGTTCAAATGGTTAATTGATCAGTTCAGCGGTTTTCTGACCAAAATCAACGGTTTTGGGGAAAAACAAAATCGGTCAGGTGACCGGTTCCTGGTTTTTCCGGTCCGGTCCGATTTTGAAAACCATGAAAAATATTATATATAATATAAACTTAATTAAATCCAACTCATGCAAAGGTAGAGAAATTTTAAGAAACAATATGTATATAGGGGTGAATTCATGGTTTTTAAAACCGAACCGGTCAAGGGTCCAGTTACCGGTCCGAATGGTCCGACTATTCGACCCAAACGACTAGCCTGCTCAGACCAAAAAAATAAAAAAATTGAAAAACGGTCAAAACCATTTGAACGATTCAAACGGTTAACCAGCCGGTTCAGTGATTTGCTGACCAAAATCAACAGTTTTGGTGAAAAACGAAACCAGTCAAATGACTGATTCCAGATTTTTCCGATCCGACCGTGAGGTCCGATCTGATTTTGAAAACCATAGGTGAATTTGATTCGAACCGACCTGAATATCTTTTTATTGGAGTTTGGCTTATAGAGAAATATGAGGTTCAAGTTTGAGCTTGAGGTCAGTTCAAGCTAAACAAATATAGTTTAACTCAAAATTTCATATATTTAAGTTCAATCCGTTTGAACTTAATAGTGAGACAAACTTTATAAAAAAAATAAAAAAGTCATAGATATAAAAATTAAAAATATTATATATAATATAAACTTAATTATGATAAAATAGTTGGTGAAAAGCTAGGTCCGTGTGGACTTATTAATCACCGTGAATAAAAACCATTTAATCTTTTCTGAAAGAAACCAAAGTTTGATATTGAGGTGAAGCAAATGCAAAGGAAGCACGTGGATCGATGGCTCGTGTTACAGGTTCTTAGTCAGACTTCCACTATTGGACCCATTCGAATATCTCTTTTAACGACAAAATTAGAACTTGCTTACACAGTTCTAGGGTTTCTTGGCCTTGATGACGGCAAATTCCTCTTCCATCTAAAGTAATGTATCGATTTTGTCCACTAAAAGGAAGAAAAAAGAATATATCATAATAATAAATGACAATTACCATAAACTTGCACCTGTTTCTCTATGAATTGGACGGAATTTTTTTTTAGAGTGAAATATTTCAACTATTGTTTTCGCCCCTTTTTATAGCTAAAACTTTATTTTCTGTCCCTTTTACTTTGTTTAGACGTAAATGGTAAGAAAAACAAAGATTTCAATTCAACACAAAAGAGAAGGAAATACTATTCAAAAATATTTAATGTTGAAAGTTGAAAGTTGAAAGAAACACCATGTTAGTAATTAAGGTTCAAAGTATCGATATGTATTGGCTTGCATTGGCTTATACATATTGTTTTGGGACCCCTCCGATACACCCCTATAGTGGGTGTATTGGGGGGTCTGACCGGTTCATGGGGTGGAGGAGTCCTAAACCACCCCCCTGAACCGGTTTCAAAAAAATAAAAAAAATGTAAAAAAAAAGGGTATTGATTCATCAGATACACTCCTATCGACGTATCAGGCGAATCGATATTTTGAACCTTATTAGTAATAGCCCCCGTTCTCTGCCTTTGAAATATCAGATTCATGGTGGAAGTTACCAAATCATGCGACCAAGTGTTTTATTGCCCATTATCATCATTATCATTATCATTATCATCATTAACATCATCTAAGCCTTATCCTTAGCATATGGGGTCCGCTACATGAACCCCACTTTGTTATTCCATTAATAGGATCCATTGTTAGAACTCCAATAGAAGTGCATCTTCAACAGGACAGAGTGCATAAATAATGCAACAATCTGTTCTGATACGTTTGAAGGTGTCTTGCTATTGAGGATTCGCTAGATTATGCTTATAGATTCTTTAATTACCAAAAAGGAAGAAAAAAAAAGATCATGCTGGTAGGTAACCAGCTGATATGGAGTGTTGAGGCAGGATGTGCTTCCAAGCTTTATAAGCATGCAATTTATGGAGGATGAGGTGGAGAGAACTGCCGATTGGCATGTCATGCATTAAATATTCTGAAGCTATCTTAGAAATTAGCTTTGAATCATTTCAAGGTTAGGTAGTAGGCTTCGTTAGATTAGATAATCCACCCCCCCACAACAAAAAAAAAAAAAACAAACCCGGTGACTTATCCTGATAAATGCATTTATTTATATTCTTTTATTTTTTAGATAAATAAGATAATAGAAATTTTATAAAAAAAAATTACTAAAATGAACAATTTTGTTTCATCAATGTTTTCACAACTTTACCCCAAGTGAGAAAGTTATTGAGAGAAAAAATAATTATAGACCCACATTAATCTGAAGAAAGAACATGTGTATCTTGGTTAATGGATTTTCCCCTTTCTCAAAATCCTCAAAATCCAGAAAAAAGAACATGCCCAACATGTACAAACATGGTTTTTAAAAATGAACCGGTGACTGAACTAGTCAGGGGTCCGGTTATCAGTTCGAATGGTCTAACTACTCGACCTGAACGACGGGCCCGATTTGACAAAAAAATAAGAAGTTTAAAAAATTGGAAAACGGTCAAAATCATTCAAACGGTTTGAACGATTAACCGGTTGGTTCAGCGGTTTGCTGACCAAAATCAACAGTTTTGGGGAAAAAGCAATTTTGGAGGAAAACAGAACCAATCAGGTGATCGGTTCCCGGTTTTTCCAGTCCGACCGTCCAGTCCGATCCGGTTTTGAAAACAATGTGTACAACAGAACAACATTTAAATATTAAGCTCTTAATTGGATTAGCTTTGGCTTTTGAACTTTGGGCTGTGAACCACAAACCTGAGATAAAAGTGTTTTGAGAATTTGGTAAGAATTGCTTTATAAAAACACTATCTGAAGCCAAAACACTTTTAAGCCCTGCATGGGATTTAAAAGTACAAATTCTAAAGATTATCCAAACATAGCCTAACTAAACCAAACATTCCACAAATTGTGTGAAGGTGGTTTGATTATTATTTGTGCGTGGCGGAAATCAAGGGCACCTCCCAAGCAAGTTTCAAAGTATCGACATGTATTGGCTCATCATATTGGGAGCTTCCTGATATGCCCCTACAGAGGGTGTATTAGGGTTTTGACCGGTTCAGGGGGTGGATGGACTTTAAACCAGCCCCTCTAAATCAGACTTGAAAAAAAAAACTACCGATACAGCCCGATAGGCCTCTATTGGCATATCAGGTGTATCGATATTTTGAACCTTGCTCCCAAGTTTCCATGTCTACTTCCTTGCCCAATGCCAAGCTATGGCCCGACCATTAGTGTTCTCATCCACATCCCCCACAAGGACTGAAGCAGGAACAATCGAATATAGAGAAAGGAATCGAAAGCCCTGTACTGAAGATATAGAATAGACCAACCATAAATCAGAATCGTTTTGATCATCGGTTTTCTTGTTTGACAATCCGGTTCGAACAGACGGCTCATTCTGATAAAAAAAAATAATTAAAATAAAAAACAGCCAAAAAACATTGAATGAATCAACGGTTCAATCACCTAAGTTATTGGGTTATTAACCAATTCAACAATTTTTTTATCAAAGACCAAGTTTGAGATAAAACAAAACCAATTGCTGGACGTTTACCAGGACGTTTACCAGGCCGAAGGATCCGACCGTCCAGGGTCAATGGCGGTTCGAAAACATTGTGTCAAACTATAAGTGGTCTGTGGCCCAGATTGTTCTTCTTAACGAAAGTTTGTACAATTCTGGTCGTTCCACATTATATATTTCAGTTATGATAATTGACTTGTCATCATATGCCAGAAGAATATATGATATCATGACAGGGATCTGTTCATGTAGCTTAGCGCTTCTGTGTGTTCCCTTGCTGGAAAAAAAAAATGATATTGCCAGAAAGGTTTCGTTCCAATGGTGTTTGATATACTGTCCATTAAAGCAGAATCTTTCTCTGGTTATATAAAAAACATGCATGGCAATAGTGAGTACATCGGCCTTTAATTTCACAAAAACAAGTAGCTCAGTTAAGGACGGAAACCACACCCCCAGCAATAGTAGTGGTGGTGCTGTCTAGGGTTTATTTTTGGGTTACAATTAAGATTCGTTAGTTTTTTGTGAAATCTCAAAATATTATTTTACATGGAAATAAAAAATAAGCATGAAGCATGCATTAATTTCTTTGGGTAAACGACGAAACTTAAATAGAGTAGATGGAGACTAGAGAGGCAACCCTGGTTTTTATCTCACATGGTTAAGACATGATTTGTGCATGCTCCATTGCTCCCAGTCCCAGCCTTATATATATATAAGTCTTCCTAGCTAGCTAGTTCCCATACTGTAAGGCTCACTGCATTCACTACCCTCTAGATCTCTCCCCTCAACCCCACTGTACTCCCCACCTCCCAAAGATCTCTTCTCTCCACCTCCTGTTCTATCCAGACAAAAAGAAAGGAGGAAAAAGAAGTAGGAGATGTTTGCAGGAAATCAAATAATCCAAAAGTGCCCGACAATGGCAGAGGTACAAATTAAACCTTTAAGCTCCAAGAGTAGTCTCTTCAGTCTTCACCACCCACTAAATTTAATCTAATAAATGTGCATTGTTGTTCTCCATTCTGACATGATCGATGATCGTCATTTTACTTTTTGGTAGGTTATAGAAGAGCTAAAGAGAACCAAGGACATAGCCCTCCCAATAGCTGCCATAGCCTTGGTTGGTTACCTTAAGAACATGATCTCAGTGGTGTGCATGGGGAGACTGGGCGCACTGGAGATGGCTGGAGGTGCGCTTGCCATCGGTTTCACCAACATCACCGGATACTCAATCCTCTCAGGCCTTGCCATGGGGATGGAGCCCATCTGCAGCCAGGGTTTCGGCTCTCACAACCTCTCCCTAGTAGTCATCACCCTGCTAAGAACTATTCTCATGCTGTTATGTGCCTCTATCCCCATCGGATTTCTCTGGGTTAACCTCGAACCCATCATGCTTAAGCTTCATCAGAACCCAGAAATCTCACAAGTTGCTGGTCTCTACTGCCACTTTGCCCTCCCAGACCTTATACTGAATAGCTTTCTTCATCCACTGCGGATCTACTTACGTAGTAAAGGTACAACCTGGCCATTAATGTGGTGCACTCTACCAGCAGTCCTTCTGCACCCACCCATTACCATCTTCTTAGCATTCAACCTCGGCCTCGGAGTGTCTGGAATTGCAATAGCCACGATCATCACCAACTTCAACACCCTTCTCCTCCTCGTATGCTACATGTTCTGCACTCGCACCTCCGACGAACCTCTGTACGCGCCACTGCTGTCACCTGCAGCATCTCCGCCTCCAACAATCTCACTGGTGGGAGGGGAATGGGGGAAGCTGCTTCGACTCTCTCTGCCGAGTTGTCTTGCTGTTTGTCTAGAGTGGTGGTGGTACGAGTTCATGACCCTCGTAGCCGGATATCTCTACAACCCTCGAGTAAGCCTAGCGACGTCAGCTATTGTAATACAAACAACATCTCTCATGTACACATTGCCTACCGCCGTCGGTGCCTCAGCCTCAACGCGCGTGGGCAACGAGCTCGGCGCAGGCAGAGCGAACAAGGCTCGTCTAGCAACAATAGTGTCCATGGCGCTGGCTGTTGCAGTTTCCGTCGTGGGGTTTCTGTGGTGCAGTCTGGGCAGAGAAGCATGGGGGAGAGTGTTCACCCAAGATGCACAGGTTCTAGAGCTGACCATGGTGGCCTTACCCATAATTGGTCTCTGTGAATTGGGGAATTGCCCTCAGACAACGGGCTGCGGCGTGCTCCGAGGAAGCGCCAGGCCCACGGTCGGTGCCGCAATAAACTTCTACGCCTTCTACTTGGTGGGCACACCCGTGGCCCTGGTGTTGACCTTCGTCTTGGAAATGGGTTTTACTGGTCTGTGCTATGGCCTTCTAGCGGCTCAAATTGTGTGTGCCTTGTCAATTGTCACAGTGATCTGCAGGACGGATTGGGACAGAGAGTCATCCAACGCCAGGGACCTAGTTGGGACACATGAAGACCAGACAACAACTTCCAGAGAACAAGATGCGTTTCTTAAACTAGCTTGTCTGACGTGAATGCATACAGAAAATGTAACGTTAATAATATAATATAGGTTGAGAAGAAAGGATCGATGATTCAGGATCTTCCACAAACCGGTCGTGTACAGTGGGCCACGTAACGTAATGTACACAATCAAGAGTGGATAACTTGGTTGGTTGGGTTACGTACCCCCATTGTACAGCTCTTGTTTGTAGCATATCCCACCGTAGCGAGAAGTACAACACCTCGTTTTTTGTAGTTCATATCAAATATCATGTATGTGGATATATCTTGCCTTTTGAAACTATTGCCACTCTCCCTCCATCCATATCAAATATCATGTTCATATCAACCCCATTGTACAGCTCTTCTTTGAACTTAATTGGGGCTGTAAAGAGTATCCATTTGTGTGAATTCAAATTCATCGCATCTGATTTAAACAACCTAAACTTGATCCACCAAAATGACTCCACTCCACCTATGTGCCCAAATATCAAATGTCAGGTTCACAATCAGAATTAAAAATTTTGTCAAACTGCTATCTATGAACATTGATCTTGAATCGTCATTTTAGTGAACAGAACAGAGTGGAACAGTGGAGCAAGAAGATATATCATATATGTAGTAGTTGGGATAATGCTTATTATATGATAATGATAATGATGACCAGAGTTTTTAAAATATCGCAACATATCACTGTGTATCGTACAATACATATTGATTTTAAGGGTCACGGGTACATGCAATACTTAGTTAGGTCGGTTTAATAGATTTAAATAGTAATAATTGCCTAACTGCACATATTTGCAAACTATCAAACCTAACAAGTAAAAATAAAAAGCAAAAAAAAAAAAAAAATTATCAATCTGTTTACACGTGAGAAGTGGACATTTTGAACATTGATGATGATGATGATGGATTGTTATCCAGTTATCCACCCAATCTAATCCTGATCTAACAATATTTTAAATAATAACAATGATAATATAAATATATACATAAAAGTAATATGCAATTATTTCTGAATATTGTATTTTTACTAAAGAGTGATAGCTGATAGGCTCAAGTCGCATAAAAATTATTTAAATCAATTTATTCACGATATTAATATTAAAAATCACTTTTGGTTTATTTTATTAACAATATAATAATTTTGTTAGTTTAACTTATTAATGATGCATCCAAATCTTGAACCCAATAGATTTAAATAGAATCTTATCCAAGTCGTTAATTTTATTCTGTGCCCATATAAAATTAATGCGGGATCGGTGATTTATGGGTTTGGACGTTTGGTTTGAAGGAGACTGTTTCCCTTTTGACTTGCCTACACTCCAAATATGAAACAACCAACGAGGAAGGTTCAATAGCGACTTGGGTTAATGGTATACCAAGGTCAAAAGGTATCGACTTATTTTATTTAGCTTTTGGGTCTCTCTCTCTCCTGTGTCTTTGCGTATGGAGAAATGTAAAGAGGTATTAGGAGTTGGGAGAGGACTATTGTAGTGGAAAGAGATGTGGGTTACCTTTTATGGAAATTCTTGTGGATTTGGCTTTTCTCCAAATGAAGATACAAGGCATAACCCCAACAAAATGAGTCGGAATGATGAGTAGAGGACAAATAAGCTTGCGTTCTCCAGAGTTTTGGATGTAAATGTGGATGGATTCAAGCACAAGCACAGTCCATATCTGCTGTTCTCTGCTCACGTATTGTCAACATTTATGTACGTTGCGTCTCCCTTTTGTTTGTCCACCAAAATCCACTCGCAGCTACGTACGGGTCTCTAATACTGAGACGCTTTATAAATTACAATGACAACTCACTTCACCAAATGAAAAAGTATTTTGCAACCAAACGTACTTACCAAAATTCAAATAATGATAAAGTCCCAAGTAGAAGATGAGAACCGAAACACTACCAAAGCATGTATCGACAAGGCAATTTATATTTTAAGAAGTTCCTCACTGCCTCAACAGATTTAGTTGTATGTTACACTCAATAGTATTTACTATTTAGTGTTACTCGTATTATGTACAATTGTTCACCGTCAAGTTCAGAACTTCAGAATTCAGATCCCATTGTGCACTGGGTTATCCCCAGTAGAGACTAGAGACGTTGACACCCCAGTTAGAAGAATCTAACAACAGCAAGATAGAGACAGCAAGGATTTGGTCGTAGCCACCTAGTTGGTTTAATGGAGCATCAAGCAACTATGGGTGATAGGACCAACCACTATGGTGCTAGGTTGTGAAGATCTAGCTTTACTAGAGGAGCTTCTGTGTCTCTTCTTGATTAGTAACATGCCCACAAGAAGGGGTAGCATGGGATGTTGCATGTGCAGGAAACTTGACCAAGATGCCAGGCAGTTCATGAAAGTGATTCTATATACCTAGTAGTTTTCTGACTTCCCCCTTCTTCCTTGCAAATTATTATAAGAATACTGAGATTTTTCAACCTGTGCAACCTGGAAAAAGTACCTAAAAACGATTGTTCACTTGAACTCGAGCAAAATACAAATCTCCTCCTGTGCACCTGTACTGGAACTCTGTAAGGTAGGCGGATGGGGTTGTAGCCTCGGTGCATCTACATATCTAAGCCTCTTGTCCTTCAGTGCTATGACAGTTACGAGCCACTAATGGTTTTCGGGAAAATAGTCTAACAGAAAGCATTGACTAGACAGGACTGAATCCTCTAAAACCTGTCCAGCCGAACAACAGATCTGTCCAACAAAGCATTGACCAAGACTACACATTGCTGCAGTTTGCATGGATAAAACAATAAAAAAGGTTAGGCAAATACTAGCCCGTGGAGAAACTTGCACCTAATAGCCTAATAAAATGCTTGTTGAAAACATCAGAAACCCAGACAAACTTGATTCATAAGCAGATATCACAAAAGTAATCATTGTGTTTTATGAACATTCTGGCTTACCAAACTTACTGTTAAGCCATGTTTTCTCATAGGAAAGCATAGCCATGTGCTACCCTAGGACCTATTCACAACCTGATCAAAACTAGATATGCTTATTCAGTAGGGTGCTTATTCAATGGAGAAATTACGCCCACTACTTTGTTGGGACAGTATGGATTCCCAGTTCCCTGCACGGTTAGGTTGATCCAGTTGATATCCCATTTGGGTGTGATTAATCTTAATTCTCTAATTTTACTCATTTATTTTACCATATTTATTATATTAGCCAGGCCACAATTTTGAACATTAAAAAGACCTCGTAGGACTGTCCATGGTTCCCCACCCAACCCCACATGCATTAGACAAGAGCTAGATGTCAAACAGTTTACCTTTATTTGAAAATGCACTATCAAAAAAGAATATTAACTCACCATTATAAACTCTTCTCATATCCAATAATCAATACTTTTAATCATCGGGGTTTGGCTGCAGAATAGGACATGGCTTTTTTGGACATATGGCTGATTCTCAAGGGAAATACAGGCTGCCAACTCCCATTACTGCATCATGTAGCAACTTCCCTCAATAGGAAGATGGATTTGGTAGTATTTCAGAAACATGAGATGAAGTTATTGCAATATGAAGTCTGTACATGGTTAGTTTTCCTATTTGTTGACTGGTCACAATCTACTTCAACCAAATTGAACCCATCCATTCAGCAAGCTAGGTGAAGAGCTAAAAATATAGTTCAGCCAGCCACAGCATTCAAAATACACAACCTTTGTATAGGAAATCAATGAAAGCTCATTTTGAAGATGAAATTATACTAATAAAGCTCTTTCAAATGTATACAGAATTAAAAGGACCTCAAAGAAAATTTAACTGTACCACTAATATTGAAGCAAAGAACGAACTGTACAAAGAGAAACCCATTCAAATATCTTCACCTTTTTCTATTTTTCTACCATAAAAAGATGGTCAAAAATCAACGTGGGTGTTTCAACATCTCTATTCTGTGTGACAAAATATCTGGATACTTGCTTAACAAGACAACACCACAAGCGTGTAGTAATCAAGTATATCTAATACAAAGACACCTGATTCTTAACAGTGGAGAAGTAGCCATTAATGCATTTTTTATCAGTGGCCAATGCACTTTTACTCCAGTCGCTCCATCTGCAAAATGACAAATGGCAATTTATACATCTAAGCTTCTAATTCCTTCATGATAATTTCAACTTATCGTTCCATTTTTTTGTATATGTAACTAAAATTTATTTGGGCAATGCTGAAACCATTTATAGCATATGAAGGGTGGAGAATTCAATTGGATGCAGGTGGGATACCCCGGTGAGCCTGGGGGGACCGTTTGATGCCTCCACATTCAGATGGCCAAAAAGAAGAGGAAGAACTCTATGGAGATGCACACACAGAATTTTTTAAGGGAAGAAAAGGTGTAAGGATCTACTGATAGAAGGGATTATGATTAAAGTAAGTTCATGGGTGAAATCTATGGACTTTTTTTCAGACTTTACTATGGATGATATAATCAGGAATTGGTAGACTGTAGCATCCTTGTCATCTGCAAAAAAGAAGGAAGTAAGAAGTTGGGTTCCTCCTGAATCAGGACTCCTTAAATTAAACTTTGATGGGAGCAGCTATGGCAACCCGGGTATGGCTGGAACTGGTGGGGTTATAAGAGATGACAGGGGGACAGTAGTGGGGCTGTACTTGGGCCCTATTGGTTGGGGAGACTCCATTACAGCTGAACTAAAGGCAGTGGTCTTCGGAATACAAAAAGCCATGGAGATAGGGATCAGGAAGTTGGCTGTAGAAGGTGACTCCAAAGTAGTTATCAGTTGGCTAAAGCAAAATGGGAAGACTCCTTGGGTATTCAGAAACAAGATCAAGAAACTTAATCATATTACAAAGGATATGCAGATATCATACCAGTGGACTCCAAGAGAAGCAAATGGATTTGCGGACCAGCTAGCGAAACAAAGGGCTAATAGGGAACACTGTTTCTGGGCTCAGTTGTAAGGATGTAAAACAAATCTTAGATGGATTCTTAAAGGAAAATGGGGTAACCGAGGCTACTCAATCTCTGTACTAATGTTCATATCTCTTTATTAATAAAAGCACTTTTACTGATAAACAAAGGGTGGAGAATTCAATGAGAACCTCACAAAAGTGGGAAGTCGGGAAATGTTCTAACATCTGATCAAATTCTGATAAAAAAGGAAAGATAAGTTAGACTGTGATCCTAAAACACCAAACCCAACCTTGTATTGTCATATGTCCCATCTGACACCAATATATTAGTGAAAGATTCCTTCTCATGCGACATATCCTTATTAGACCATGATCCTATATGAACTCCAACAAATTGATCCCATAAAATCTTGAAGTGGGTTGAGAGAGGTATACCTACTCAGAGTCTCAGACATGACTGGACATGACTGAACATGACTGAACTTATGATCATTAATTTCTCAACCAAGGTAGACAACAGACAGGAATTTACTTTTACAAAGATGAGAAGGTTTAAACTATTAGTACTGTTTCATTTGTGATGTGACAAAAGAAGGTATGGATGATCATAATGATGCTAATAATGATTTTTTTAATAATAAGAATAAGGTAAGGAGTCCTTTACACTATCATTTGTCCTAACAACAACAATAATAATTGTAATACATATATGGTAGACATAGTGATAAACCAAACATTGCTTCGTGCTACAGTAAAATCTTGGGCTGACAAAATTGAGAACATAGGATTAAAACTGAGATTGATCATTTTTATGCAAGAAAATGCAGAAGGTTAGGTCCATTTCCAGTCCAGCCCTCCCCAAATCCTAGATAGCTAGGATTAATACCACCATTGGGTAGTGATCCTTTTTATGCACTTAAGATTACAATCACATCTTCCCATACTGATATATGGTATACTTTTTTGTTTTCCTTTCTAACAGCATACACTTAGGAATGGCAACGGGGAGCCACTCCCCATCCCCATCCCCATGAAAATCCCTATTCCCGTCCCTGTCCTCGCTAGCGGGGACAAGGTTATCCCCATCCCCATGGGGATCCCCACTCCCCGTGATTTTTTTAAGATGTTAATCATTTTGGTTTATTTTTTTTTATTTCATTTAAAAAATTAAAATTAAAATTAAAATAGTTAAAATTTACAATCCTATTAAAAAAGATCCAAATATATTCAAACATATCCAATCATATTTTTTTAAAAAATATGTGTATACATAGATAGATATATAAGCGCAGATCCCCACGGGGCGGGGTGTACTCTCCCCATCCCCGCCCCATTCAGGGTGGCTCCCTGCAGGGATTGGGGAAATGGGTAAATTTTCCATCCCTACAGATAACACCCTCAGCTTGCAATTCAAAGAAGCAAAGCAGCTAATGGAAGCTCAAATTTCTACCAAAAAAAATGGAAGTTCACATTCTTAAATATTATACATATATTTTTTATTGATAACCATCAAATTTTGTTGATTATGAAAGAAAATAACTTAAATGTATATGTATTTGCAAGTGGCTATTGTAACCTATCAAGCTAAATTGAATTTCCACTACAAGATATTGTGTAAGACATTCTAAAGAGTAACCAAATGAGACTTGACAAATGCTCATACACTAATGTATATGTAATAGGTATTTGCCATGGAGTTACCTTCCAAAGACCATCATTGAGATAATGCATGTTGTCCACACCAATTCCTTTGTTGATGGTTCTTCTGCAATAAAAAGAAGACAAATTATCTCACAAATACTTTGTGGTTTGAAGGAGCTAGCCAAAAAATAGGAAGTTTCATATGGTCATATGGTCAAACGTTCAAGTGGATCCTATTTGCTCTAAACTAGATATACTTCTCCTTTGTGAGGACTGGGAAGACCACTGGACAGGCCTCCTATGCATAGCTCTACCTAGACCAATATTATATCATTGCTCCATCTTAGTTCCTCAAAGAGTTCTGCCACAAGACAATCTCCCTTTAAATTTGTGAACATGTGGCTAGACGGAAGGGTTACAAATTTTGCAAGGAGTTACAAGAACTGAAAACAAAACTGGAGGGTTGGAACAAAGAAGTGTAAGAAAAGAATGAACAAAGGAACTTATTATCTTGTCAATTAAAGAGTTGGACTAAAAGGTTTAGTTGCTGATTGGAAGTGTTTTATTTTTCCCCCAGTTTGATTATTGGATTCGTATGTTTGAGGAATGATTGTTTGTGCTACTGCTGTTTTAAGTAGTGTCAAGTAGGCTGTATTGAGGTCTGAGTCTTTTTATCTGGTTGTCTGTGTTCTTGTTGTGCATTGATGATTAATGAAATATTCCTCTTACCAAAAAAGATTATTACCGAAAAAATATGCAATAATACTTCCTAAAAGGATAGGAAACCAGTCACAACCAAAGTAAAGAGAACTTACATGTCTTTTGCTGACATTTTTGTAAAACCAATGGCAAGAGCATGCTTTTTCCCTTCAGCCATAATAGCCTGAAGAAAAAATATTTATGATTCTAGAAATCAACAAAACTGGGAAATATAAGTTTCAGTTTCCTTCAAAAACTTCCTGAACAGAAATGAAGTAGCTAAGGTAACTACAACAAAACAACTCTACACTCCAAAAAATGGTGAGGGAATCCATATACAAGTCTGGCCTAATAAACACATGAACTTATCATTATTCAATTGTAATAAATGGAAAAAATGCAAAAGCTTGTACCACAGGAGTTTCCTGCAGAACATCATCATCCAAGGCACCACCAGGAGATGTAAGGCCAGGACACATTATGTTTGCACCAGCAAGGACAAATTTAATTGCACCCCTATCCACTTGTAACCTTTTCATTATATCAGGATCTGAAAAACAAAGAGAGCATAAGATCAAGAAAGTGGCAAATATGAACTATTTCTCAATATCAACTTCCTTGGTCATTAACCAAAAGCCTCTTCATAGCTTCTAACATCCAATTGTTACAATTAAAGCCTTGCTAATATAGTATTCCAGGGAAAATCACCAGATCCTATATTGTGTGTGTCCAACTTCAACCGTTTAAGACATCCAAAATGGAATCTATGAGTTTTTCCTATCTAGAAACATGAGAATCAAGCTACTACTGCTCACGTATGAACTTATCATCCCAGTGTAGATTTCAGAACAAAAACAGCAATTCAGTAATTAAAGCTTAAAGAATGTTTAATATATAACATACTATTTATAAATAAGAGGTTAGCCAAAGGAATAAATTACATTGATGAAGAAGTCGCAATGTTGGCATGTAGGGGCCATCACGAACATTGAAAAATAAAGGCACATTGTTCAACAGAATCAGATTCAGGTGGTTTTGACTGGAAAAATTAAAATGGAGTCATATGAGCACAAACAATGTAAACATACAGAATGCAAAGGAAAACATAAAAATAATAAAAAAAAATAGAAACAGAAGATATCACAAGTCTAGACTACAACACTCTTAACAATCAGTTGTAGCATGTCAAGGGTGGAAGGAGTTCAAGATTTTACAAAGGTCAGACATGCTTTCTTTTCAAACTTTAGACCCTAAATTATGTTTTATACAGAACAATAAAGTAAAGCTCAAGAGCTGTAAACTGCGGTCTTGATCTGCTACACAGTTGCTGTACACAATCATTGTGAGACATATGTCTGGCAACCATGTTTAAAGACCTATATGTGCAAGCCAAAAGCACCTTACTTTTTTATTTTCAATGTTGAATATATATGTATATGCAACAAGAACAAATAGGTGATTGTGGTGCGACTGGTGCTGTTCAGCTTCTAGTTGAGAGCCTCAACAGGCACAGCAAGAAAGTCATTATTATAGGAAGGTATAATTAGGGTGCAACTTGGGTTGGATTGGGAATTTCTCAAGTTTTCAATTGGCCTGAACCACCCTAACCCAACCTCAATGTAATTGAAGTTCTTCAAGTCAGACAACCCAATCTGCAGCCCTAGGTATAGTAGCATACAAGCCAACCTTGATGCATTGATACAGTCCACAACCTCTCAGTTGCTTCACCTGGTGTAGTGTTTCCCATTGTCCAGCTCATATAGCTAGCTCTGATAAGGCACCCAAGTTGGCCGAGAAAGTGTTGCAGTTACTTGAAACATCACTTCATCACCAGAGGCTGCAATTGATGAGATTGCCAGTACCTGAATGGGGATCCTGGCACTTGTGGAGGCAGTTGAGGGGGATTCCCAGAAGAGAATGAAGAACATAGAGAACATGCTTCTATCAATGTGTAGCACCTATAGGGAAAAGTACAGAGGATAAATTTTGAGAAAAGGACCAAAACATGGTCTACTTCTGTTGTGCATTGAAAGAACTACGATACTCAAGGATATGGCTCAAGATTTGTTGTTTCTGCAAGGAATTCAAATTCCCATGACCATTGTTTTAGAACAAAAGTGCCTCAGAATGGCTTTTTGAGCAGACTTTTGAAGATATTGATTAGTGTTGAACAAGAGAAAGGGAGAGAGGAGAGGCGAGAGGACTGAGAGCCCAAAAAGAATTCCTGCAGGCGTGCAGTATGTTATTATTTATACTAGGATGGCCGTACAACTTAAAGAATGAAGAAATTACAAAAGTACCCTTGCAGTACCAAACATATATACAACAACATCTGTCAACACTCCCCCTCAAGTTGGAGCATAGATATCAATCATGCCCAACTTGTCACAAAGATCATGATGTCTTG